TGTAATGATACGGCGACCACCGAGATCTACACTCTTTCCCTCCCCCCCAATATCGAATCTCTCTCTCGGCTTTTTTTTTTCTTTTTGGCAGCGGACAGCTCTCCACTCGAGTGCAACATTTCTGCGTGTGCATTTTTCGCAACAAATTCAAAAACGATTGAACAAAACCAAACGAACCCAGACAGAGTGAACGGAGGTTTCTTTGCGTCCAGCTCTTTGGCTGAAAACTCGACCCTCAGAATTAGCCCTCGGGGCGCCGGGGCGCCGTGCCGGACGGAGGTTTTTTGGCTGAGGAGCGGCCGTCCCCTCTTCCACGAGTCAAAATCTGCCCCCCCTCCCCTCCCCCAATGTATGCTGGAGCCATAGAGGTCAAAGTGATTAAGCTCTTTGGGTTAAATTAAAGCTTCTCACTCTGATTCAGTGCATTTTCAAGTGGATTCGACTCAACAACATTATACGCCTATCACTGGAGGATCTATAAAATGATAATTCCTGTTATTTTTTTTAACTCTCTGGATCTAGTTGAGCTAATGAAAAGAAAAAAAAAACCCTAAAAGGGTAGCTCAACTGCTGATGTTCCTGTCGGGTAAATAACAGGCCTGAACAGCACATTCGATACTAGAGAAAAACACACCGTCGTCTCCCCTCCAAATCATCTGCGATTTTATGAAGGGACGAGGCTGAGCGTTGAACTCTGATGAGCTAATTGCCGTTTGGCAGAGGGCTGCTGTCTTACAGCGCTGACATTTAAGGGCTGGAGGGGGATTAGTTGAATCCAAATATGAGAAGCTTATGAGCAGTGTTTATTTTTATTCAGCGTCCCGGGATGGAGAGCAAACGGCGACAGGGAGAGGGGGAAAACATTAGCAGACAGTACAGCTTCTCAGTGAAGTGCATGAGGTTTCTGTCAGGTTAGCTGTGGAGGCTACCCGACTGGCTGGGTGGCATCTTAAAGGGCTGCTTCCTCCCTCTTTGACCGGATGCAACGTGTGTGAATTTCCATCCGCTTAGCGCCGGATGCGAGTGAGATGGTAAAAATGCTGACATGTCTAAACCTTTGGGACACGTGACCAACAAAAGTCAGAATAGAAACGATAAAGGCGCCTTTCAGGCTCTTCTCTTTCTCGGAAAATCGTCATCCAGCTCGCCCGTCTCTTAAAAGAGTTTACACCCACGTGTTGCATCCGGTTGTAACAGTGTGTGCATCTGTTGAATTCAGTGATGTTTAATTGTCATAAATAAGATAAAGGTGAAAGGCGGGGGGAGGCAAAATCCTTTGAATCTTTGCCGACGCACAAAAAGTTTTACCCTGTTAGAGGGGTCAAATTGAACTGGTTTCAAACTCAAGCGGAATCGTGTGAGGTGGAAACCCTAACACGCGTGCCCTTTGGCCGGGTGGGGTGGGACCCTGGGTCCGCAGAATGCCCGGGGCGGCTCGGCGCCACCGGGCTAGCGCTGGCTGTGAGAACCGAAAACCCCCTTGACAACTGGATGAACATTTCTGGGAGAGGAAAAACAAAAGAAAAGAAAAGAAAGTCTCACTGTGTTTATCTGTGGCTTCAGGAGGAGAAAACATCAGCCCAGAGGACTGAGGGCATGACCTGCGGGGCTGCCGCTGGCGAGTGCTTTGGCACTCCGACGTACAGGCCATGTGTCCACCACTCACAAAGGAAAGACTACAAAGTTAGTTAAACAGAGTGAAAAATGACAGGAGATTTGCCTCTGGATCTCTGGGTGGAGCTGAACACAGACAGTGGACGGAGGGGGGGTGGAGGGGAGGTCAGCTGTGAAGCTATCGTCTGAAACAACTGCTCTGCATACACAAACAAACAAACAGACAAATGCTCGTCCTGGCCCGAGCGCTCCACGTTGCTGTTGCAAGCGTACGGCAGCACAGAGGGGACAAAGTAGCACCAGTATGAAATAAAGCTAATTCTGCTGGGCCCTTCTAGGCAGCCGCGTGCTGCCAGACGCAGCCCGACCCGAAACCAGAGGTAGGATTTCCTCAATCCCCGCTCCTCCGTCTTTCCCTCCCGTCCTTGTTCCCACTCCATGCGTGCGAGTTTCAAACATATACACAAACTAGAAACGGTAAGAAGCTACACGCACTCACACAAGCACACGCGCAAGTAGTTGTTTCGGACAATGAGCAGCCATGATGACATCTCCCCACCCAGCCAACATATCTCCATTCATCCATCCATCCCGTGCTCTGTTCCACGTTTATCTTCATCTCTCCTTGCTTTTTTTTTTTTTTTTTTTCCTTTTTTTGGTTGTTCTTTTTTTTTTTGTTTATCTGTCTCTTGAGTCGATTCATCAATTCATCAAATCCTTCCTCCGTCCATCTGACCGTGCTCTTGTGTGTTCTCCTCTGCTGTTTTGTCGCTTTTGGCACTCGGCTTCCCCCTGACTGGATTACATAAACTGCATCTGAGCAAAGATGGGGGAGAAAAAAAAAAAAAAACACATGAGAGACGCCACCCTGTTAAAAATTCAGCAGCATTTTATTACCTACAGCATCACACAGACTTATGGCAACCGTAGAGATGCTACAGTAAACCTGGGGGGTAGAACTCAGAACTCTATTTGTTCTGAGATGCTGACTCATTCTGAGAGCCCTGAGAGGCGGTGAAAAATTTTGTTGACATTAAGGAGAGAAAAAAAGTAAGATGGGAAGATTTTTAACAACATGATTTGGAGTGGTCCACGGACCTGACCTTGAGGGACTCCCTATGGTTGAGCTACAAAGATTACAAGTGATTTTCAAACTGTTTGACAGTTATCATTAAAATGCAAGTATGTGATTCAATAATGCCCGATCCACGGTTAAACCAACTTATAGCGATAAAAAAAAAGGGGAAAAAAAGAAAAAAAGGGTTACTTAGGGTTCATTCTTGTGCAAAGATCCAATGAAATCTTTTGAAAAATAAAGAGCTATATACTGAATCCAAATACAAGCCATGTTAGCTTTAAAATGTAGTTTTAAAAAAAAGAGAGACTGACATAAATGAGAGATGTGAAAAAGGAAATAAAACAAAAAAATATATACATTTTAAAAAAGGATGGAATGTAAATTACCTGGGCTCCTGGCATGGGTGCGAAAGGATTAGTGGGTCTGAGAACAGGCTGGTTGTACATTATTGGCTGTGGAGCCATCACTGGTACCCCGCCCATCTGACCCATCTGGGGAGGAACCTGGAGAGAGGAGATAATCCAGGATGTAAAAGTTTTTTTCTTTTTAAAGTTACTTTTACACAGTTAAGATGGACAAAGACACTGAAGAAAATAACATAGAGCAAAGGTGAATGGGGGTAAATAAGCAAGATAAGGGGTATTGTTATCGGTTTCTTTTTGCGTCTGAGCATGCTCACCATTCCATACACAGGCACTTGCGGTGTGGTCATGGGAAAAGCCATTGGAGCCGGAGCCTGAAAGAGAGAGATGAAGAGAAATGACGGCCAGCTCAAAGTGTAGCAGCCTTTTTTCTCTCAAAACGGTATGTAGTAATTCAAGCATGGATAAAGGACATAAAAAAA